CCGCCCCCATCCCCTAGGCGAGGACGAACCAGAACGCAGACAACAGAGAGGCTGAAGAAAACGATTAAGATGAAGGAGACGACCCAGAAGCAGAAAGCAAAGCTGCTGCTCGATTTCTTGATTAACTCGTCGATTACGCCCATGCCCGAAACGCAAAACAACCAAACGCACATGGTGCACACGTTCCTGATCCTAACGCCGCCTGCCTGTCTCAGCCCTCTGTAGTTGACGGGGTAAACGACGGCGAGGAAGCGTTCCAGACAGGTGAGGACGTGAAACATGGTCTGTCCCGGTGCGGTAATGGAGAACAGGTACACCCCCGCCATCAGAAGAGCTCGGTCGTCAGCATAAACACCGCATTGGTACAGGCCACACCCTGAGAGGCTGAAGATTTCCATGGCAACCATGTTGTAGGTGAAGAAGTCGCTGTGGCTTATGGCGGCGGCCGAGTGCTGCTTCCTCCAACGTAGGCGTCCCATGTGGAGGACGAGGATGAAGAGAGGGAGGAGGAAGAAGACGACGATGATGAGGTAAGCCATCACCATTTGGTTGTTGGTTCTGTTTCTCAAACAGTACTCCAGCAGCGAGAAGTGGGAGGAGTTAGAGGAGGCGAGGTGAGGAAGAAGAGAGGATGAAGAGGAGTTAAACCAAATATCTGTTTGTCTGTTAGTGGAGAGAAAGAAAGAAAGACTCACTGTCAGATTCTAGAAGACCAGAATTTAAAATGTCTCGTCTCCTTTTCTATTCCACTTTATCCTGGGAATACCGGTTGCTGTATTTTGAGTCACTTCTAAATGTTTCAGTATGAAACATTTTGCTCCTGTTATTTCCATTTCCATCTTTATTAAAAAGGAAATAATCTTCAGAAAAGGTAAAGGGGTAATAGTGGATTTGAAGTCTAAAAATGTAAATTCTGATTGGCGTTTTTTTGTTTTGGATTTTGAAAATTTAAAAAAATCAGAGAATGGAAAAAGACCGAGTACTTTGAGTTTTCTGTTTTATCACAAGAAGAAGTTCACTGATTTACACGAGTCAAAGATACCATTTTAGACATCTTATCAAAAACTCTCGTAGGGTGATTGGTTGGTCAATATTTCTCTGAGTTCAGATTCTTCATCCTTAGCATATCATTTAAGTCAGAAAGATTTGATTCTTGATAATCGACGGCATTGAAACACGATGTTCACATTCAGCCGAAGTGATTTGAATATGACAAACATTAAAGTAGATATTTTAAGTATTCTTTAATGAATGATATATAAGTCTGAAGATTTGATCAGTCCCACCTCTTCATCATAGCGTGTGTCTGACGGTCCTTCTCCAACCTCGGCCTTGGCTCTGTGGAACTCTTTAAGTACATTAAACATATATCTGTGTGTGACGGAGCGACGGATGGAAACAGGTCGATTTGCATAAACATACAATATATAGAGTGCAGTCAAATCAGACTTTCTCCAGCGTCTCTTTCATAACACAAACGTGTGATTCACTGATTTGTACTTTTATCTGTTGTTTTTAGCTTATAATAATAATAATAATAATAATGATAAATTTGATTTATATAGTGCTTTTCTAAATACTCAGACGCTTTGACAGGAAACAACAAAAAACAAAAACTAAGAGAACAATAGAACATAGAAGTAGAGGGAAGAGGATGAGAGTCAGTGGTTGTAGGCGGTGATGAAGAAGTGAGTTTTTAGGGATTTCTTGAAGGAATCTTGAATCTTCTCAGGTAAAAAACCTGAAAAGGACAATAAGATCTTGTCTCTTTGTGTTTTGCCTTCTTCTTTGTCTCTCTGTGGTCAATTCTTTGAATTAAGAGGAGGGTTAGTGTAGTGTTTGTTTGACTCTTTGAAGTTGTTTTGCGTGTCTTTAATGGTCGTAGTTCGAGGTCTCTTGGGGGTTGTCCTGTTGTCGGCCTACAAATCATATCCAGACATGGTGACAAACGTTTAGATTATTCTCTAACAGTCAGGACTACAGGCACAAATAATGTCTCTTTTGAAAGCTAACAATCTGTAGTTCCAGAATGTGACTCAAATATAATTCCATTTGATTCATTTTCCTGATGTCTTCATTTTCGTCTCATCATGGTCATTTTGAGTCTCTTTGTGGTTGTAGTCAGTTTCCTGCTCTCTGATGGAAGTCACCTGTTGGCCATTTGTCGACTCTTTCTTTGTATGTTCCTTCTAAGATAGTTTTGGTGTCTGATTTTCTTCATTCTCCACTTTCAGATCGTGTTTTTTGTGACATTTTTCTCCCTTTTTGCCATTTAATGTTGTCTTTGTTTTAGTGATTCAGTTTTGAACCTGTTGTGTGTTGATCCGTCTGTTGTGTGGCTCTGGTTGTTTTGTGTCTCTTTGGGACAGATTTGATCATTTAAAAAAAATGCAAACTATACCGCACTGCATCAGTCTGTGCCGCTGCCTCCCTGTAGATGATAAATGTGACAGAAATAATTTCCATATTGCAACAATCACAAACAACAGTGATTGATGGT